CATGGGGAAGTCCCAGGTCTGTAAGCTTGCTCCTTGCATCTGTCTGCTCCTTGTTCACTTCCAGAAAAGCTCTCCTCTCTTTTCCACCCAAGAGTTTAGTTCTGATAGCCTTCAGAGGTGGATAGATTTCCACTTCCAGAGAATGAGAGAGATGACGACAAGACGTCCCACGGTATCTGGGAGGCATCTAGAGTGTCACTTTCCCAAGCAAGCCTCTTGCCACTGAAGCACTCATTTATCCTCCCAAACTCGCCCAAACCCAAACATACTCTCAGATTCTCTGGCTCCCTGCGCTGACACAGACCTCCAAACCCTCCCTACAGACCACTTCATCCTACCCTTATTTATCCTTGCCTCCCAAAGCCCTCCACGCCCCCTCCCCCGCTCTCCTCCCTAGCCACCCCCCAGCCCCTACCTCCCTCTGCCTCCACTTCACCCTATTAAGAAACAACAACCCCCCAGAACGCCTGCCCCCGGCTGCTGTTCCCTGAGCCCCGCCTGCCCTCCCTCCTCCTGCTCCTCTCCCTGACAGATGCCTCAGAGCCCCGGGCCGCAGTTAAGGTGACGAGATGCAGCAATTCTTTATGAACATTTCATTCCTGCTCGCTACACGACGTAAATTAGATGGTGTGTTACATTCGGGCAATAAGAGAGATATGTCACCACGACGCTGGCCCATTGGATGGAGAGGGTAATCCTGCCGTGAATTTCATTACTGCTTTTATATAGACAGAATTAGCTCGGTGACAGCGAGCCTGATTGTCTTTCACTAGGGGTTTGGAGAAGAGCTGAAAGGATTTCACCCTGATGTGCACACTACTGAGTGACCCCGCTCACCAGCGGCTGCGCTGATTGCTTTGCACCTTGCAGACCCGCGATTGGCTCAGCCTCGCCGGCCGCCGCCGCCTCGCCTCCCTCCCTGGTCCCCAGCCCTCCCTGACTGACTTTCTATTGAAGCAAGAAGAAAGGAGACCTAATGGAGGAGTCACAAGGTCATGAAGGGAAATTTGGGCGTGGGGAGGGGCAAGTTGGCAGAGTTACAAAATACCCGACAATCCCTTTCAGGTCAGAGTCTTCTGGACAGAAGCTGTGGCCACTCACTCTTGCTTCCCAGAAACGGGCACGAAGGAGCTTGGGCCACATGTCCGATGTCCTGGGGGAAAAGGAGAGACTGGGTAGGGACTGGCAAATCCCTGTGAGTCTCTCTTGCAGAGACTCCGGAGCTGCCACCAGGTTCCTGTGCCTTTGCCTCTCTCTCCTTTGGGTCCTTCTGTCATGATGGTTCAGGCTCTTCCCTACCCCCCAGGCAGGAAGAGTTGGGAGAAGCAAGAGGAAGACCATTGTCACTCCCTGCCTGCAGACTCAGCAACTCCACTGTGGAGGATGAGGGAGGGGCATAGATTCCCTTCCCTCTGTTTCCCACACTCACCAACATGGCTCCCACTCCAACCCCACCCCAACTCTACACAACCCTCTTCAATGACCTCCTGAATCCTTAGTAGGACCTGGATGGCCCAGTCCAGCAGCCTGCACTCAAGCCCAGGCTGGGGATTTCCTTCCTTCCGTTTCTTTCTACAGGAATGGCTAGTTCTGAGTCAGTCCCGTCCTTGTTTTCTGGGTCTCTACCTTAATATCTCTCACCACTGTTGCCTTGTCCCCTCTTTCCTTACCCTCTGTCAATCCCTCAGCAAACATCTTCTGCTAAGCTTTCCGGAGGCAGAGGCAGCTGGTTGCCCCCAGGGCTGGCCAAGGAGGTTGACCATTGCTGGACCCTGCTGACTACTCTGCCCCCTTTGAAAAGTCTTCAAGGAGACCCTCCGAGATTCCATTCCTTGCAGGGCCACAGGCCAGGAATCAAGCAAGCAGAATAATTTCCTCAAAGCCCCTCATGTCAACCCGATACATCTGTTGGGAAAGTTTCTTTCGCAGCCCAGATCAGCCAGCTCTGTGGCCTGTGCTGAGAGGGATTAAGGCCACAGTCGCTGCTTTCTGGTGGTGGGGGGACCCCGGACCTTAGCAGAGCTGAGCGGGCCCTCGGAGGCCTGGCACTGGGTCTCTACACTCTGACTCTGTCTGCCTGGGGTTAGTGCCCTGATCTCCCCTGAGATCCCCTTCCATCCACCCCCCCACACACACACGACACCTCAGCTCCAACTGCCTATCCTCCATGGAGCCCAGGGAGAGGGTTCCCTCAAGGATTTACTCAGGAAATCACTCTGGACACGTTTTACACTGAAATTCCTTCTCTGTGAAGCAAAGACTAAGTTACGATACTGAAACTCTAGTCTGAGCCTGCCGGTATGCTAGCCGGGTGACGAGGCAGGTCATCACACCTTTCTAAACTTCGGCTTCAAAAAGGGTCATAACTGGGCGCCTGGGTGGCTCAGTGGGTTAAGCCTCTGCCTTTGGCTCAGGTCATGATCTCAGGGTCCTGGGATCGAGTCCCGCATCGGGCTCTCTGCTCGTCAGGGAACCTGCTTCCTCCTCTCTCTCTGTCTGCCTGTTTGCCTACTTGTGATCTCACTCTGTCAAATAAATAAATACAATCTTTTAAAAAAAGGGGGTCATAACTGCTGTGGGGGGCTGTGGTTCGGTCCTGTGCTTCCTTCGGTGCTGAGGAAGGTCTCCAGCCATTGCCCTGCCCTGTCAGACTTCCTTGGATTTGTCTCTGCTGAAGAGAGCTGTCTCACTGAAGGCCATGCCTTTCCCCGGGCAGCCTGCTTCTACTGTCTTGTCACCATGGGCATCTGAAGGCTCAGCCACCTGTCTGTACCTTGGGACACTTTAGAAGGGCCATCCCTGCTGCCGAGTCCCCCTTGAGGTTGACAAAGGTCTTTTTGGTGACTGCACCAATTTCTCCCTCTGTCCAGTCCTTCTTTCTAGTTCTTTCTCTTGCACTAGTGAAAACCCCAAGAGCACGCCCCAGTGAACTTCCAGCACCATGGACACCATCCCAAAGTTGGCTTCCCTATAAAGCCTGCCTACCTGTGGGACTACTGCAGGACAAGGGTGGTTGGTTGTTGTTGTTTTTTTTTTTTTTTTAAGATTTTATTTATTTGACAGAGAGAGACACAGTGAGAGAGGGAACACAAGCAGGGGGAATGGGAGAGAGAGAGAAGGAGGCTTCCCACTCAGCAGGGAGCCTAAAGTGAGGCTCCATCCCAGGACCCCAAGATCATGACCTGAGCCGAAGGTAGACGCTGAATGACTGAGCCCCCCAGGCGCACAGTGAAGGGGTTTTGTAAAGTGTCATGTAGCTGCTGCTGCCTCCCATCAACGTTGTCATCACAGCAGGCTCTGACTAGCTGGTGTGATGGGTTCAGCATACTTCGGCCAGGAAGTCCAGTGAATGAACACCCAGCTTTCTTTTTTCTCCTAAGGACAAGGTTCTTTGCACTCTGCTTTTTGTCTTCTGATTGGAATAACCTTCCCAGATTGTCCAGACTGTCTCTCAGGAAGCCCTGCCATTGTCCCAAGTTCAAATTGCCAGGGTTCTATTACCCATATCTCATTCTTTGCCCCAAGAATCAGGAGCTAAGTGCCCACTGGATATCTCTCCTACACGCTCTGGATATACTCCTAGCTGGGCATCCTAGCCTATATTTAAAGCATGCACTTTCCTCCCCAAAACCAAACCATCCATCCTTGGTGTGTGTGTGGGGGGGGTGACGACAGATCTCAAACGAGGCCTGAGTACAGGGTCTCCTCTACTTTGAGCCAAGACTTCCTTCCTTCTGGACCTTGTTTACAACTTCCCCCATCCCAAATAAAGAAAGCCTAGGATCCCTCTCCTAGGGAATAGGGAGGAGCACTGGCAATGGTCTCCAATTACTGTTACCCTTCTAAGTATGCCCACACTGTCTCACTACTGGGCCCCCAGCCTTGTCAGCATCTTGGGAGTCGCATGGCAGGAAGGGACACTGGCGGGTGAATCAGATCTTCTTCTTCTTTTTTTTTTTAAAGGTTTTATTTATTTATTTATTTGTCAGAGAGAGAGAGAGAGAACACAAGTAGGCAGAGTGGCAGGCAGAGGCAGAGAGAGAAGCAGGCTCCCCGCTGAGGAAGGAGCCCACTGTGGGACCCGATCCCAGGACTCCAGAATCATGACCTGAGCCAAAGGCAGTGGCTCAACCGACTGAGCCACCCAGGCATCCCTGAATCAGATCTTCTATCCTGTCCCCACTCCTGGGCCCTGACCCAGAATGTGTGCTTCTCAGGAGTGCAATGGCCTGCATTTCTCCTAGAGCTTTCCCTGCAAAGCGGCAGGCACTGAGTGAGGAGCCAGTGGTGTGGGGGATGGAACTTTCTCACCCTACTCCCGTTCTGACATCACAGGCCTCACTTTCTGACACTAATTGGTTGCTATGGAAACCAGTTCCTCAGAGTACATGACGACCTGAGTGGAGGGAGGGAGAGCCACAGGAACCAGCCCTGCCACAAAGAATCCACAGGGCCCCTCAGCATCAAGCACGGCTGCCCAGAGTCGCTATCCTCTGCCAGTACATAGGCTTTGCACATAAGGAGAAAAGTCCACCAGCTCACGAAGATGCCCCAGGACTGCACAAAGGTAATCTGACTTCACCACTCCTCCCACTTCCCACTTCATGTGAAAATCTGTCTTTTCTTTGAGAGGGGAGCTCTTGCTGCAAAGTCATAGTCCAAATCGAGAAAAGTCAGCCACGTCCCATGGAACAATCGGCTATCAGATGTGATATGGGCATCTCTCTCTCTCAGTCCTGAAAAGGAAGTCCTTTTTTCTAAGAAATTGTCTTTAACTACCCTGAGATCATGACCTGAGCCGAAACCAAGAGTCAGTTGCTGAACCAACTGAACCACCCAGGTGCCCCTTACACATCCTTTCAGTCATTCATTCAACAAGCATTTATGAGCCCCTGGTATGTTACAGACCCAGTGCCAGGCCTGAGGGATCCACCCAGGAGCTGATAGGGACCTGCCTCTATGGAGCTCACTCCCAGCATCCTCATGTCCTCATGGACATCCTCATGTCCATCCTTTTAGTAAGTAGCTCTGGGTTTTCTTTTTTCATTCTAGTCTCCCAATGTAGTAAGATGTCTAGTTGCTGATAGCGTCGGTACAATCTGCTTAGTAATCCCCTTCCACCCCTGGGCTTCCCAAGAGTAGAGACCTTGAGCCTACTCATATACGTTTTTGCCTGACACTAGACTCCAAGATTTGGGGCCCCTGAGCCTTCCACGTCACCCCGTTGTTCTCCGAACCAGCCTTTCAAGGACCCTGGATTCCTCCACTGTCTTTCAAGGCCACGGAGCAGAAGAATGGATAGGACTTGAGGATGGTGGCAGAAAGGTAGGTCTGCAGTGTGCCCGTGGGAACGGGTGCATGGGCAGGAGGTACACAGCCATGTCTTTGTCCGCCGGCATCCTGTGGTCACGCACGCGCACTTCCGCTGGCTGTATCTGTGACTTCTCCCAAATCAGCCAACGTGGGGATGTGAGCATGTGTGTGATTCCACTTATGAGCGTGAGTGAGCATGTGTTCAGGGGAAGGGGAATTTAGGGGTATGTCTCTATGTGTGTTTTTTCCAAATGCTTGGCTTTTTTCAAAATGGCTTAGAGCACTACTGTCATTTATGGGGTTTAAAATGTCAGAACAGGGCCCGTGGGGAGGCAGGGGAGATTAAACTGCAAACAGTGAAGGTTATAGATGACGTTTCTGATAGGCTGACAGGCAGACTCAAATGATGCTGCACTTTAGCAATCATTTAAACACACACATGCACACACACACACACACACACACACACCAGCTCCTCTCTCCATATTTTAATGGCACATTCTGAAGGCTAAAAACATAACATAGGCCATGTCTAGAAAACCAGAGCTCTGCTTTCAGAACCCAACCCGCAGCTGTCTGGTGTGGTGTGTGTGTGTGTGCGTGTGTGCGTGTATTTACTCAAATGCGCCTACCTGTCCCAAATGAACACATATACTTATTTATATTTTGAGTCTGCATTGGTTAATTTCATGTCACTTTTATACAGCATCCTATGTGCTTAACAAAACACATCCCATCTCACGGTCGACCCAAGCATCATGACCTCATGTGTAAAGTAGGCAGGGTCGAAATTACTACCCTATTTTATAGATAAAAGAATACTGAGGCGCCAAGAGGTCCAGCAGGTTTCGCAAGACCATCCAGTGGGAAGTAACAAAACCAAGGTTAGAAGCAGAGCCTTTTTGTACTTATCCAGAGCCCTTTTCTTGAGGTTGTGGTTCTCAGCCTGGGTGATGCTTCAGAATCACCTGCAGAGCTTCTAAACCCCACCAGGCCCCCAGAGACTGCCACCCAGTTCTGGTGCTGACCCTTACAGGACGTTTTCGAAGACTCCTGGTTATGCTCACAGGTAGGGGACATCCCAGGTATCTGATCAGGCTCGCATCCCCTCTGCGTGAATGTGGATTCCAGCCTCCTCCCTGCTCAAGGTCTATCTCTCATCTACCTCCCAGAAGACTTACTATCCGGGAGGATCAGCAGCTCTATTTCTTCTGCTTCACCCACCCCTGCCAGACCGTGGAGGTTTAGAAAGTTGCTCAGCTCGGCCTGGTGAGTGCAGAGGCTATCGGCTCTGAGGCCCACCATTGGGGCCACCCGACACGGGGCCGACTGTGTTGTCTTGGCAAGTGGGAAAGAGGAGAAGCAGCCCCACCTGGCCCCGTCAGCCAGGAGAAGGCCAAGGGGATGAGGAGTAGCCCTGACTGATCTAGGCTGAGAGAAAAGAGGGAAAGAGATGGAAAAAAAGAGAAAGGAGAAGAGGAGAAGGAGAGCCGACCCCTTGGAAGATTATTTCAAGCCGCTCTGTGCTGAAACCACCTCACCCGGCCACTGCAGGAGAGGTGACCAGGCACAGCACTCAGGAGCACAGACACGGCAGTGGCCTGTCTGAGCTCGAATCTGGGTTCTGCTTACGAGTAGCATGACTTGTCTCCAGGAGGAAGGAAATTACCCTTCAAAATCCAGAGCAGAGCGGTGCCTAGCTGACTCAGTCAGGAGAGCATGAAGCTCTTAATCTCAGGGTTGTGAGTTCAAGCCCTACCTCTGTGCCTCTGTTTCCTTATCATTAAAATACCGATTATAGGGGTGCCTGGGTGGCTCAGTCGTTGGGCGCCTGTCTTAGGCTTTGGTCATGATCCCAGGGTCCTTGGATCAAGCCCTGCTTCGGGCTCCCTGCTCGGTGGGAAGCGTGCTTCTCGCTCTCCCAATCCCCCTGCTTGTGTTCCCTCTCTCACTGTGTCTCTCTCTGTCAAATAAATAAAATAAAATAAAATAAAATACGGATTATACTAATAGTACGTGCATCACAGAGTCTCTAGGAGGATTTAGGGAGTTCAGGTAGAGCCCCCGACATAGTGTGAGTTCTGGGCAGGAGTTAACTGTTACTAGTCTGCACAATTTGATGCTTTGGAACTCTACCTCCTTGAAACCCTTCCTATCTTCCTGAACATTCCTTCTCTGTCTTCTTTGGTAGCCCTGTTCCTCTGCCCTCCCTCTGAGTCACTGGTTCTCAGTCTAAGGAACTCTTAGAGCTTATCCCCAGAGATTCAGAATATTTGTCTGGGATGGGACCTAGACACGGGTGTTTCTCAAATTCCCTGGCTAACCCAAATGCCAAGGTTAAAAACCACTCCTCTGAGTGCTGTCCCTAAGTCTCTGCTCTTACTCCTTCCTCTCCTCACTCATTGTTGCCGTGTAACCAACCTCCTTCCCATGGCCTTAATTACCATCCAGGAGCTGGTGACTCTCCAATCCATGTACCCTGACAACACTTCTTTCTGGAACTCCACAAGCTATTTTCAGCTCCCTGAATTTCCAGACACCTTAATTTCCAAATGTGTAATGATAAAATTCCTCACGGTCTCTCAGCCTCCTGCATATCTGCACTGAGAAGTGCCCTAGACAACCCCTCCCAGGTACAAGTCCCCATCAGAACTCAGTATTTTGTACTTTGGACCCAATCCTAGTCCGTCTCCTCTATTCCCCTTCTCTATCCCTTCCAACCATTCACTCAGGCAAGAACCAGCAGCCAGGGATCCTCTCCCTCATCCCCACACCCAGTCACGTACAAAATCCTGTCAGTGCCCTGAAGGCGCGCTCCAGCCTCGTTCCTTGGGATCCCCACATGGTGGGCCGTGCACAGTCCTGAGAGCCTCCTCACCCCTCTCTCACCTCCAGCTTTTTTGGCTGTACCCCTCCCCCAGTTTCTTCTTCGTCCTCAGAGCTATTGTTTTGGAAATGTGAATCGCTCCACTGCTAAAGCCCTTCAGGAGAGAAGTCAACGTTGCACAGCCCTTGACTACGTGTCCACTTCCACAGGCCTCCCTCAACGGACCCCACCCTCTGTGCATCACTCTCCCAAGTGTGCCAGGCTGTTGGACACCTCAAGGCTTTTGCCCATGCCACTGCCCTGCCAAATGCTCTTCTCTTCCCCTCCCCTTCTGCCCACATTTACCCATTAGCTGAAGCACCTGACCCTCTAGGAAATACTATCTGACTGACCACTCTCTTTTTGTCCCTGCTGCACCCAGTAGCTACTGTCTACTGTGTTGGCTCTCACTGTGTCTTCTGTGTTTTCGTTTTCATGCCTGTCTCCCACACTGGACTGTGATCATCTGATAAAACACGGGCCCTGTTTTATTTGTCTTTGAGGAGTACAGTGAGCAGGGAAGAGACCAGACCCCCAAGTTCTACAGGGAGTTTTCATAGACTGTTTTGTTCTCTTGGCTAAAGCACTTGGTGAAGAATGCTTTGGGTTATGCTCTGGATTTTGTTTATTTAATTGCTTGGGGTTTTTTTTTTAAAGTAGTCTCCATGCCCTATGTGGGGCTTGAAATCACAACCCTGAGATTAAGAGCTGCATGTTCTCCAGACTGAACCAGCTAGGCACCCCTATGCTCTGGAATTTGAAGGGTAACTGCCTCCGTCCCGGAGCCAAACCTAGGTATCAGCAGAGACCCAAATAAGTATCCCCTGACAGTGCCCCGAGGTCCCTCCCCTGGGTCGGCCTCTCCAGGCCCCAGAACTGGGAGCTCTGACCACCGTAACACCTGATGCCCCTTCGTGGCCCAACCACGGTGAGTGCCATCTTCTTTCCTCTCTTTCGTCTGAGACCAGGATGGAATGTTGCCAAAGGATCCTTCAGAGAGAAACGAGGAAAAACTACAAGCAAGCAAGCAAACAGACCTTATAAATACTTAGAAATGCAGAAATGGACAGACTGTAAATGTCTGATTCTAATTTGTCACCCGTGCCTAAGGGAGAACATTCAAGAATTGCCTTCTGGGGGCACCTGGGTGGCTTAATCAAGTAAACATCTGACTCTTGATATCAGCTCAGGTCATGATCTCAGGGTCCTGGGATTGAGCCCTGAGAGGGCCTCTGCTTTGAGGGGAGTCTGTTTATCTCCCTCTCCCTCTGCCCCTCCCCCACCTCCCTCCCTCTCTTTCTCTCTCAAATAAATCTAAAAAAAAAAAAGTTGCCTTCTGGGTTTTGCAACCCTTGACTCAGAGAGTGCATTCAAAAGTCACCCTTTCTTGAGGTGCCTCGGTGGCTCAGTTGGTTAAGCATCTGCCTTCGGCTCAGGTCATGACCCCAGAGTCCTGGGATCGAGTCCCCTATAGGGCTACCTGCTCGTGCTCTCTCTCTGTCAAATAAATAAAAATATTTAAAACAAAACAAAAAAACAAAAGTCAACTTCTCTCCCCACCATTGCCCAAAGAAGGCACTAGGCAGGAATCCCAGTCCCATCCCAAGTAGGCAGGCAGCTGAAAAGTTGCAAAAGAAGCAAGCCCTCATCCTCCACAGAAGTGGAAGGTCAAGGCCGTCCATGGTCTAGAGCAACCAAAACAGTCAGGGGCCCAGAATAGCCCACAGACAGAATGTGGTCTCTGGGACAATCAGAGCAGTGTTTGCCTCACAAATGGGTGGACTTGCCCTGCCACAACCCCGTTTGCTAATATTCCTAGAGCCCTTGCCATATGTCAGCACTGTGCCAAACACTAGCCTGAGTAACTCTCGCAACAACCCCGTGAAAGAGGGACTATCATTATTCCTGTTACAGATGAGGAAACTGACTGGGAATGAGGCTAAGTGACTTTTCCAAGGTCACAAAGCTGGTAAGTGGTGAAGCTAGGATTCAAATTCAGACAGTCTGACTCTAAAACCTAAAACCGCAGCCTCTTAACCCCCATACTTCTAACACACATAGCAGGTGATTATTCACTATTTGCTAATAGTAATAACAGCTTAAATTTACTGAACATTCAACAATGTGCCAAGTACTGTGTTAAGCATTATTTTATTCACTAACATGTATTATTATTATTATTATTCCCATTTTATAGATGAGAACACTGAGGCTTAGACAAGTTAAGAGCCTTGCCCATGGTCCCAAAATTCGTAGGTGAAAGAACTGGAATACAAACACAGAGGGACAGATAAATGAATGACCAGAGGCACAGACAACTCCCCCACCAGGACGACTACTACCCTGGAGAGTGTCCATGAAGGAAAGGGCCCTTCCCAGGAGCTCTGACAAGGTGGCAGACACCTTGATAAAGACCGTGAGCTTTTATATAAAACCATGTGCTGGCAAAGACACCTCCAGTCTGGACAGCTTTACCCAGTTTAGGGCCCAGTGTACTCTGAAGTGACCCTAAAAGGCTGGGCCGGTTCCTCCTTTCTCCCAGGCCTCTCCAGAGCACCCTCTCAGCAGCTCTTTCCACTCCCAATAGCCTGGCACTTGGAATCTGGTTGGGTTTGGGGACCCCAATATCCAGAAACCCACAGCCTCCAGGACCCTCCCCTAACTAGGCAGTCCTCAGCAATCCCTGCTTGGATCCTTTAGTTCCTGAGTCTCTGGGTTTGGCTCCTGGAGGAATCCTTAGAGAGCCATCCAGGTACCTAAGGAAAGAGGGAGAGAGGAGGGAAGGAGCCAACTCCTAGCCTCTCCTCCCCACCCCTCCCCCCTCCCCCAAAGCCTTGCAGGCGGCCCCCACCACCACCAAGCCCAGCAGAGTTTCTCACCTTCAGGCAAAGGCAGATGATGGCAGATCTGGGGAGCAGAACTTAAGTGAGCCCGGGGCACTGCAAAAACCTGTCATTAGTATTTAGGGAACGTCAG